TGCTAGGGCGAGGGCTATATTTACTGCAAGAAAGAGGAAGGAAAAAAAAAAAGGTTAAGTGCAAGAAAACATAATTCCCAAATATTGAGAATGTTATCATTTCTAACAAGAGAAAATATAAATACATCACACTTAATAATTGCATTCATCACCTTGGTTCTTAGCTTCTTGCACCTCTACAATATTACTAGTTTAAGTGGCAGCAGCACCCGCATTTCAGTCCATGTTTGCTAACAGGCTCACAAACTGAAGCTAATCTGCAAAAACTTGCAAACTCCAAGTTTCTAGAGGACACTGCAAAATAAAAATACAATCTGAGTATTTTGCCAAAGGATAACATTAAAAAAATATTTTGAGGTACCCACCTGACTTTTCAAAAGTGGACACTGTACTATAAAACTAAAATAGCCCTACCATAGGTAACCTTCAGCACAGCCTCTAGTGAACTTTCTTAAAACTAGAGATTAGGTAAGTATTGACCTAAACTATTATAGTACAGTGACCAGAAAGATGATCATACCCCTTTTTATGATTTCTTGTGATATATTAAACGTGGATACTTTCTGGAAGAAGATGCAACGCATGCTTTTCACGTGATTTTTATGTCAGAAAACAAAGTCTCATCTACCCTGAAAGCATCTGTAACAACTAAAGAAACAGAAAACCGGGATGAAGCAATTAAAAAGACTGTGAGTTTGTTTACAGCTTTTACATTTCCATCAATACTTAACATGTAAGAAATGGTATCTTTTAATGGCTCACCAGCTTCAATTATGTTGGAAGACCTCCTAGAAGCTTCAGTATAACCAAATAGTAATTGTTATAATCCAAGGAGCAACATGTTTTAAAATAAATTTAAAAAGAAACACGACAAAAAAACCCCAACACACACCCCCGTCTTTCTTGGGTAACATCTTTTGCTTTCTTTACACATTGCTGTATGTCAGTCCATAAAGCCTTTTAAGAACAAGCTGCTTGTGGTCAGCCTTGTTCTACTGGGAGAGCATGAAGGTACTGAGAACAAGCTGGGGAGCCAGATTCCCAGCTTAAAGAATTTAGTATTGAGAAAGATAAGTTCCTTTAAACAAAATGGTGAGGAGGTTAACAAGGAAAATTGTACAGCTCTCCCTAAGAAGCACACAGCCTCTTACTCCTAAGCTGATAAAGCATATAGATTTTATTCTTCAGTTTGCTATTTAAACAGATGCTTGATTAACTGTTCCCTGAATCAATCACAGGAAAAACCATCCTCTGAAACTTGGAGACAAATCTACAAATCACAGATAAGGAGAAAAAATATGCAAACCAATGATAAATAAAAAAGAAAAAAATAAAATCAACTGCAGCTCATGTCTGAAGAGGAACAAAGGAAGCAGCAAGTTACTCCGCACACTGTCTCAAAACCACTTTATTCATCTTTCTTCTTCCTATACAATTACCATGTGTGAAAATTAAAGTATGATCCACAACGCTTCTTCAATAAAAGATATTCGACTACTGAAGGGAAAAAGGGGAGACAGTGGAAATAATATAGTAGGAAAACCTGGGTTTTTTAGCTGAATATATAGCTGGAGACCTCACATCCTCTACTGAATCCAGCTGATTCTTGCGTTCCATTGTCTTTATATGACCGACAGTTCCAAGAGAGCGTAGAGATGCAACATAGGACCTAACCTGACCCTAAACGTTCATGTTGGCCCTAACTAGTAAGTTCCCATAACCAGGAGTACAGGAGAGCAGAGCAGATACATTCCAGAAGTTCAATACAACTTTTTTTTTTTTTAATTATTTTTTAAAACTTCAAAGCAGGCTCCAAGAAAGCACAGTATCTCCACCCATGCTAAACTAGCCAACCAGTATCAAGAATGATGCACATGCAGATCGGAGTTAGTCTTCTTGAAATCAGTACAAGTCTGGGAAAAGTTATTAGTTTGGACTTTGTAACTTCCAAATCCGAACTGGTCCTAGGAATAGCACAATTGAATTCCCAGAACATTGAGCTAACAATACAAATAAAACTTCTTGGCCCAAAATCAGACATGTACAGAGCCAGCTGAGCGTATCTACATCTGTGACATGGTTAATCTACAGCATCAATAAAACACCTAGATAACCAAGATGAACTCTCTCTGAAAGATAACTTTCAATACTTACATCTCAATATAAGTGGCATTTAGAAATAGAATAACCAGTTTATGACTATTTAGTATAATATTTTAACATGTAGAGAAGGCCCTGAATCAAAAAATATGACGTTGACCCTGGAAAAGAACAATGAACAAATACTATTATCACCTTTGCCAAAGCCCAGACCTGTGCCTGGCTTGGTCAGGTGAATAGATGGATTTTGGCCCCTACCTTGAAAGGGTGAGTTTCAATAATAGTACATCCTACATGCAGAATAAAAGCATGCAAGAGGAAAAAAAAAATTAAAACACAGTTAATATGACTGAGATCATTTGACCATGTGTTGACTTTATCAGCTGTCCTCAACAATAATAAAAAATCTCAGCCCGTTAGTCTTTGCTAAAAATGTCTGAAGGCCAAGGTAGTTGGTAGTATCAGTAGTTTTATTTTCCTCAAACTGCAGGATTAACAAAATGTGAGTAAGAACACCAGCCATTAATTTTATTCCACTTCCACAGCTGAAAACATTAAGAGTTCCAATAAATTAGAAACTTCTCTTCTTTCAAGACCACACTTTGAACTCTTCTCATGCCAGGATCAATTTTCTATAGTACTCTAATCTTCAGGTAATGCAAAAGAGGGGACAGAAGAGAGAAAAAAAAACACCAAACGAACAAAAAAACCACACCAAAAAAAACCCCCACCTTTGGCCAGGTGGAGTAAATACAGCAGAATGCTGGTAAAAGACAGAAACTTGATAGGAAAGAGATAGGAAACATAAACAACACTTAACACCAGGCAAACAAAAACAACAATAACAAAAACCAATCAAAGTATTTAAACATGCATTGAAAAATATTCTTTCTATAACACAATTTCTTCTTTTAATCATTGACTACAGTGATTTCAGAAGACCAAGAAGTGCTAGAAGCAACAGAGAATACAATATGAAAGCTATATGCAACAAACAGAAAAATGTTATTCAACAGAAATGCAAAGACAGGTTAAGGAATAGCCCCGACAAACTTGACCAGAATGCATATCCACTTGTCCTGAAACGGAGATCCAGTGCAATAGAAACATAAACCCACTGGGGGAAAGAATACTAACAGCCTTGACAGTCCTTCAGAGAGATGCAGACAATAAGACTAATGATATTTTCTGTGGTGCTTTAGGAATTCGAGATACGTACCACCCTCCTTCCTTTTCAACTCCTGCTCTCAAAATGAGTCAGTGGAGTTGTCACCAAACATGTTCCCCACAAACCTCCATTACGAAGAACACAATTTTAAGTACATCATTCAGCAATGACACCGTGCAATACTTTTGTTCGTACAAGTTATCTGATCTTCAATTGTCCATCTGAACCATTAAATTTATTCTCATTTTAATAAACAAGAATCTAGTTTTGTTTTTCTTCTCAATATTATAAATTAATACATTCATTAACAAAAGGCTGTCCAATACAGCAACATCTGAATAGTTCATTTACATTTCAACTTTCTTATTTAATGCTTGTTGAACCCTGATTTTTCATTTTTAAATGCATGGGTATGAACTCTCAGCTCTTTAAGTGTTATTTATACATGTGTCATACTTTATGTACAAATTACATACAGATATGTACAAATTACATACAGACACCAGTTAGCAGAACTTAAATTAGCACATTTGTTTACAGACATGAGGAGGATAATCTGAATTTACTGCTCAAATTATGTGCAGTTTGTAAATCTGTTGATTTACAAACAGATACTTGGTATTTTCAGTAACCTAAAACAGCCAGCCTATGAATTATAACCATCAACCAGAAAGTACACCATTAAGAAAAGCAGGTCTTGTTTGCTTTGCATATCTTTGTACAGGAATGTGTATCCTACGTATAGGATAGTATGTATATGTATCCTTTGTACAGAAAAAAATACTTTCAACTTTCTTTAAGTACAATTACTCTCACTATGGGATATCATGTTTGTCTGTTCTAGTATTTATTTGATAGTCAGTCCTTTTCAAGCATGGCTGAAATACAAACCACAAAATGAGAAATTAAGAGCTACATCAATGTGTGATTCATGGTAAATGGAGATGAACAGCAGACAACATTCAGCTAAAGGATGACTCTCTTCCTAACCTAGATGCTAAGGAAGAGATTTTAAAACAAATTTCTAACACTTTACAGAGATGTTTACAAAGAGGTTTACCTTCAGTGTCATCTTTGTTTAAGTTCAAGGAAATTTCTGCAGTACTGGTAACCCATGTACTATCTTGTTCTACCACCTAGGAACTGCACAGTTAGAGAAAAATTAATTCAAAACCTAATGGTTGGGCTGAGAGAAGAGTTCAAGGTGCTTCACAAGGCTCCGATCAATTTGTGTGGTTTATAACTACTGTTTCATCTTCTGTTTACGAAATGCCTATACAAGTAGTTGAGAAAATTGGAGAGACACCTGATTTTGAAATCTTCTAAGTGTTAGTATCCTCTACAGAGCACATGACTATGCTGACATAGCACAGGGGAGAACTGTACAGGCACACCTACACTGCCAGAAAAGGAGGAACAGTATCACTGCACCGGCATATGAGCCCCTCCACCTCAGCTCACACCACCTCTTAAGAAAGCAGACTGTCCCAGGACAGCACTGCACTATTACAAAGATACTATTTCAAAGCTGCCTGCTCAATTTGCACGTCATTTAACGCCAAGACCTCTGTACCCACGCAGATCCTCAATGGCTGCAATAGGACTTGACGGCGTTGAAAGGTTGAGTTAGTGGGACTCAATTACAAGGTAATGACACAACAAGTGCCCAAATATTCCTTACAAAGTATTACAAAATGTTCAAAGTAAACAATAAAAAAACCACAACCCTTACCTGCTGTTGTTGATTTCCCAACTCCCCCTTTTCCAGAAGCTAAGACCACCACCTGCTTAACTCCTTCTATGGGCTTCTGCTTCGGCAGTCCGCGTGACAGGATCCGGGCGCGTTTGTCCCTTAGAGCCTCATCCCTGGAGCTTGAGGACTAACAGAAACAGAAAGCAAGCGAATGCGTATGCACCCACCTGCAGCTTTCGCAGAGAAAGCTGACAGGGAAGAAACCCACCTGCGCACTGAGAAATTTTCACTACTGGTCAAAAAAACCGTTTTGCACGCAGGCTTTCCCAAAGGGAGCCTGCTTCACAGGCAAGCAGGCTGGCAGGAACGGGGCCTACTCAAAAATAACACCAGTGGGCATTCTGTTTAGACACACAGTTAAATATGAGCGATCTTAACACTTAAAAGAAAAAAAGAACGAGGGCTTATGTTAAAGTAAACCAAAACACCACTTAAAAAGCTGGAAGCTTTAAAAAATAGTCTAGACCTAGCGGCCTTTTATGTTACAGTTGCTTCAAGCACAACAAACACAGCTAACAGCAAAGGAAGAGAAACCCTAGGTGCTGAGGCGCCGGCGAAGCACAGGCGGCTTTCCGGAGGGCTGTCCCTCCCCCGAGCTGTGCGGGAGGTCGCCGTACTAGTGCCGGTTGGCCGGAGCAAGTCCCACTTTGCTGTTATTTCAGAACAAGAGGCGCACGGCGGCTTTTCTGCACCCTGCGGACCCCCCGCTGCAGGACGGATGGACTATCAGACAGAGCCTGCACCTCTACAGGCAGCGTCCCACGTACTACCTGGCGGCCCAATTTTACCACCACAGGCAGTGAGCGACCGCTCGCGACTTCCACAGAATTGACTTAAGGTCCAGGCAAAAAAACCGGCGGAGACTCACCCTCCTCTGCTCGGTCCGGCCGCTGCCCCAGACCACCCCGCGCCGCTATCCCTACACCGCAGAGCAACTGCTGGACACAGCCCCCCAGGGTACCGGAGCAGGTCTAGGCCACGGCGGCCCTCCTGCTTCCCACCC